CTCTCCTTGATCCCCCCCTGACCCCCACCCCTGCCCCCCATATACACACACTTGACTTTTCCTACAAAGTGCATGTTGTGACCATGGTTAAAAACTCCCTTGACTTTTAAAAACATGTTGGGCCCACTTTACAAAGCCACAGAATGCGCTTAGAAAGGGACAGAGCCATTTGACTATTGTTAAGGTAACTAGCCTTAAAGTTCCCCTAGCCTCTGCTTTATTGCTTTTTTTTAATATATGTTTATTGATATCTGAGAGGAAGGGAGAGAGAGAGAAACATTAATGACGAGAGAGCATCATGGATTGGCTGCCTCCTGCACGCCCCACATTGGGGATCCAGCCACAACCCAGGCAGGTGCCTTGACCAGGAATCAAACCGTGATCTCCTGGTTCATAGGTCGATGCTCAACCACTGAGCCGCACTGGCTGGGCCCTTAACCTCTGCTTTAAATGTTGCTGTGGTGAAGTATGCTGTGACCCATCTTTCCCCGGAAGGAAGGGATGGCCGGGAGCTGTTCTGATTGCTGGCACAGCCAGGAGGCCCCGGGCTGACAAGGCCACGCCTCCCTGCGCCTTCCCTGGGAGGGCTGGCGAGCGGAAGTGTGGCCCAGTGGGCACTGGGGGTGGCGGGGGTCTGCCAAGGCCACCGTGACCTCCACCTTCTGTTCGTGAATCTGAGAATTTCTGTGTTTGAAGGATATTGAGTGAGGTACCGTGTTCGCTATTGGGTCCCCTGCTCACCAGATATGTTGAACACAATGTGACATGTGTTAGCTATTTTTTAAAACTTTTTGTTTGTTCCTGAACATCCCTTGTCCTATCACTGCACATAGGAATCATGTATTTCAGTTGCTGGGGAAACGAGGGAAAAGAATCGTAGCCCAGTGAAGGTTTTCAGCTTTTTTTTAAAGTATATTTTCATTGATTTCAAAGCAGAAGGGAGAGAGATACAGAAACATCAACGATGAGAGAGAATCATCGATCGGCTGCCTCCTGCACGCCCCCTACTGGGAACCAAGTGTGCAACCTGGGCGTGTGCCCTTGACAGGATTTGAACCCGGGACCCTTCTGTCTGCACAGGCCGACGCTCTATCCACTGAGCCAACTGGGGAAACGAGGGAAGAAAATTGCAGCCCAGTGAAGGTTTTCAGCTTTTTTTTTAAAGTATATTTTCACTGATTTCAAAGCAGAAGGGAGAGAGATATAGAAACATCAACGATGAGTTTTCTTCTCTCTGCGTGAACTGTTCTTTGTGGTTATCATCTGTGTCCACTGTCGTATGGTTAAAGGGCAGCACAGTGGCCACAACCTAGTTTGTCACTGACTGTTTACCTGCATCCGAAGTGACGCATTTTCCTTCAGTATCTAGCCAACATTTAAAAAAAAAATACAGGTGACTCATTGGGTTTGTATGAAAATAGGTTCATATATGTCCCAAAACGTCACTGACGGTGAGATGGCTTTCATGCGTTTGTAACTTCACCGCGGGGACTTCCGTCGGCATTTTCCCAGGTGTGACTCAGCCTGGCGAAGGGGAACACCTCCTCCCACCGTCCCAGGCCTTCATTGTGTGAACTCTCAAGTCAGGGGCCCGGCGGTGAGAGCTGTGTGTGTCTGGGTTTAAAGGTTTTACGAGTTGAACTGAATGCTCTTCAGTGAGTGATGTCTGCTCTGTGGGTGCCAAAGAAATAAATGGAAGAGCGAGCTCGGTGCTTTGTTTTTGCTAATAAAGAGCTTTACTACCTGGGATCCTCCCGGCCCCGAGCTGACATCATCACGTTGGGAGGGCTCACTGGGTCTGTTAAAACTGCAGATCACACACGGTGAGCCCACAGTCAGGGGCGTTTCTTGCCTGAACTATCGAGGTCCCGTGCATGGCTCCGTGAGCGAGGTGGTCACAGTGTCACAGCACAGTGTTAGGGCTGTGATGATGAATTTTTTTAAATATATATTTTTATTGATTTTAGAGAGGAAGGGAGAGGGGGAGAGAGAGAGAGAAACATCAATGATGAGAGAGAATCATGAATCGGCTGCCTCCTGCACACCCCACACGGGATCAAGCCCACGACTCCAGCATGTGCCCCGACTGAGTATCGAACCGTGACCTCCTGGTTCATAGGTTGACTCTCAACCACTGAGCCACACCAGCCAGGCTAGTCCTCTCCTTTGTGCATTCATTTAGCAATGTGTGGTGGGAGTCTGCTGGGACTGGGCAGGCCATTAGGAGCTGGGAAATCAGAAAGCCCTGAGACGCCCCCCGGCCTCGCGGGATCCTCACCTGATGTAGAAGTCCGCCAGCTCTTAGCGTGTTCCGAGACAGGCCCGGGTGTGTGCGGGGAGGCCTGTCTGAGCTTGCGCAGGCCGGTCCTTGTAGAGGAGCTGATAGCTAAGCAGAATTGAGCTGTCTGGGAGAAGCTTGGGGGGGGG